TATATATACATAGATATTTAGCTAGTCTGTTCATATAGTACATGCAATGTAACATAGTATATGCAAAACAGTACAAACTGTATACATATATAGTGTGTGTCCATATGTATAGATTATATATGTATAGTACATATATATATATATCCTTCCTTTCCTTCTTCCTTCCGTCTTTCCTTCTTTCCTTCCTTCCTTCCTTCCTTCCTTCTTTCGTTCCTTCCTTCCTTCTTTCCTTCCCTCCTTCCTCCGTTCCTTCCTTCCTTCCTTCCCTCCTTCCTTCTTTCGTCCTTCCTTCCGTCATTGCCTTCAAAGGGACGCCAGCGAAAAAAAAAAGGACCCCCCAAAAAAAAAGGACCGAAAAAATACGCCCTCCTAGTAGTAGTAGTAGTCGTCGTCGTCGTCGTCGTAGTATTAGTCGTACTCGCAGTAGCAGTCGTCGTGGTCGTAGCAATAGAGGTAGGAGTAGGCATGGGAGTGGGAGTGGGAGTACGAGCAGGAGTCATCGTCGCTGCCGTCGTGGCTGGTAGTAGTCGTGGTAGCGGTGGTCACCGAATAAATGAATTAGCAGGATTAGCACAAGAACCTGCATCAGAAGCAGTAAGGCCCCCGTAAGGCCAATAACAGCACTGTCGTCGTAGAAGGAGCACCGTTGCTGCAGTAGCTGCCTTTGTAGCTGTATCAGACAAGGCAGTTTTAGTCGGACTTGTACCAGTAGTAAGCCGTTTGTTGATCCCAATGCCCAAGGCAGACATGCCAAGAGGGGTATGATTCGTCTCCGGCGTTTGCAGACTGTTGTCTTCTTTTACAGCTTGCCTAAAGTGTCCTTCCCAGACCTGCTTCTTTCTGAGATCTTCTGTTCAGTTAATGCGCTCTTGCCCTGCGCACTCTTGGCTGACTTGTCCGCAGCGCGGCCGAACTGCTACCCAAAGAATGGTCATAGTGTCGTGCACCTCACGAGAACCGCGTGTTACAGAAAGATTCATGATACCGTCTCCCCTCCCAACCTGAAATCAGATGAGAAAGCTCCCCAAACACTCTCTGACTCCCAGCGCACCGATTCCAAGGCCGGCTTAAATGTCGTATCCATGGCTGCTCGAAAGGATTGTTGATTACTATTGCCGTGAGGACTGCTTTCAGTGTTGAATGGTGTTGAGCATCCTTTGCAGTGCTTCGAACGGCAAATTGTCCTCGATGTCTGTTTGATGGCTGCTCAGCAGTTGTCGAGGGCATGAAGACGAGCCGTGCCGCGGAAGGTACTCTAGTCGGACATCTGAAATCAAGCACGGGCAAAGAGGAGACCCTAAACCCTAAACCCTCAACCCTAAACCCCTAAACCGTAAACCCCAAGCCGTTTGTCGTTTCGTGGCTTCGTTTTTGGGCCAAAGCTGGATCCTTTATGCCATCAGAGGGAAGCCTTTGGCTCCCAGTGGCGCACTCCTTGTGGGCCTGGCCTTTAAGTCAGGCACCCAAACTTCCGACTCTGAAGTCAGAAGATCAAGAGCCATGCAGCATTGCCCCAAACCTGGCATATTGAGCATGAGAAAGAGAAAATCGTACACCAGTCCATGCACGATGCAGGGCGTCCACCCAAAAAATCCTTTCAGGAACTGAGAAAATCGGTGGGTCCCATAACTCTACACCTTCTCCGAATCCTGTGCACAAGAACATGCAAGGCCGAAATCGAAGCAACCAATTAACGGTCACTTAGTGCCTTAGGGTGCCTCACCTTCGAGAGGAAGGCAGCCTTCGCAGGGCGTTAGAGTACTCAGTGAGAGTGGCCGTGCTCGTCCAGCTGCCCATTAGCTGAACACGTGGCGTGCTCGTGACCCTGGTATACCCATGTCATGATGGCCACCCCGATAACGAAGGGCACCAGTCGCTTTAAGGACGCGATTGGGCTTATCCTCTTTGTGCTGGCGGAACCATGTTCGTGGATGTGGGCAACTGCAGGTCCCAGCTCAGTGATTGCGATGTACAGGAAGGTGCCACCGCCCGCAGCCATGAACCAGCCTTTTGTTGCACTGCTCATGTCAACCTCGAAGCCGACCAGGGCTCCGACCAAGGCCGTGGCCCCCGACAGTACATTCAGGGCCACGGCAACAGCCCAATGAAACTTTGCTTCCGTGACCAGGACGATGAAGTCTGCGATTTCCTGTGGCAACTCGTGCAGGATCAGCGGGACCACAAGCCCCCAGGCCACGCTCCGGTCGCAGGTCCTAAAGGCGAGTCCTAGCATGAAACCATCAGTCACGTTGTGCAAACCATCGCCCAGAAGGATCGGCCCCGCAATCGCCAGGCGGTTCCGCCTTGCGACCTCGACATCTTTCTCCTCTGCAGATGCCATTTCGACCTCCTTCACCGGCGATACTTGGTTCTCCTCCACTTTTGGTGGAAAAGCCAGGGAGGTGATATGGTCGATCACGGCGCCGAACAGCCAGCCGGAGATAACAGCGATGCCCCACATAGTCGTGGCCTCCTTCTCCGTCACCCCCACACCGAGATAGTGCAAGGCCTCCGGCAAAAGGATAAAGGAACTCGTCCCCAACACAACGCCAGAAGCGAAGCTCTTCACCGGCACCTCGAAGACCTCTTTGAAAGTCTCCGCCCTCTTCGTGCAAGCGCCCATCAACACGAAGATGCCCAGCAATGTCGGCAGCATCGTGACAAGCGATGCACCCATGGCCTCCCCGATACCTCCAAATTCAGCCCCTGCCACAGAGTCGCCGTGGTCGCCGTGATCATCGTGGGAGTCATCGTCGTGGGAGTGGGAGTGGCCGTCGTCGTGTGTGTGAGCGTCACATTGGGCCAGCAAGCCGAGCCCCACCGCAGCCAAGACGGCGAAATGCCTCATCGCGGCGATGTTCGGAGCAAAGGATCCTACAGAATTCTGAACACATGAGAATCGGGTGACATGCAAGATGCCCAAAACGCAGCGGAATGCAATTCGATAAAGCATGTCGTTGCGCTCAGTGCGGTGGGCGCTGTGAAAACCCAACGACCCAGAGACTCCAAAACCCCTTAATTAAGGAATATACCTTAAATCATATTAGGGATCCTATTATAATTTAAGGTATATTCCTTAATTAAGGGGTTTTGGAGTCTCTGAGGACCTGGAGCAGCTCTTTTGACTTTTGACCTGCACTGTCGTATTGCGGCCCGGATCTATGGCCCGACAGTGTCGTCCGACAGGTCTGCCACCACAGCGGGATTCACTTAAAGCGCCAAGACCGAGCTGATGCAGCCATTGGCTTTGCAAACTTTCTTGCTTTGCGAATTTCGAGTTTACAGGACTTGCGAATTCAATGTCGCAGACAGAAGCCAAACAGAGGGCAATTGGCCCTGAGTCTTTAGCGAAGCTTCGTAAAGGTCGACACACCAAAAACAGCGCAGAGCTAGGTGCCTTGGCCTAGGGGCCTTGGCATGTGCATGGGAGCAAATCAAGCTGCCTTCAGCAGCTCAGCACCGCTACACGGGGATAAAATCGTCGGAGGTTTCACCTCCTCCAGGGCCGAAGCCAATTTCAAGGCCAACTGCTGCCGAGACACAGGGCAAGCTGGTGCCTTCAAGCCGCGCCTTCGCGTGTGAGCAGGCGAGGCTGGATCACCGTCCTGGCATCGGAGTTGGAAAGCCTAGGGTTAGTGATTAGGGTTTAGGGTTTAGGGCTTAGGGTTTAGGGTTTAGGGTTTAGGGCTTATAGGGCACAAGACACTTCGTAGCCGAGTCTCACAGAGCTCCAAGGCCAGCTTGGCCAAGGACTTGCCGAGCACGTACGAGCCGATCTGAGAGAAGTGCAGGCCGTCCGGATCCCACATCAGCGGATCTTCGTGGCTCAAGATGATGCTGGGATCCATGTAGGTCAGATGCTGGGCCAAGCCCTGGAGAGCCATCTCCATGTCCTGAAACGGCGCAGGGTCGGCACTACATCTTTGCAGCTCAAGTTCGCCTGTGCAGCTAGCCCGCCTCTAGCAGCACCCGGCGATTGTTGCACCATGATGCGTCTCCGACAGGTGCTAAAGGTGGAGCCATCGCAATGGTTGGTATTCCACGCCTTGCGAGTAGAAGCGCGTGCTGGGACGACATGCTCAGGTGTTCCGGACTGCTGGGTATGTCAGGACTGCAGCCACACGACGCCCTACAAAAGGGAATGTCTCTGTGGTGCTCAGTATACCAACACCAGCTGACATTCGCCACCAACAGTGCACGCCAAGCTGTAGTTACGCCTAGGTTACGCTGTCCTGCGCTGTCCTACGCTCTTAGATCCTTCTCCGCAGTTTGCAGAAAGGATCCCTCGGGTAGGCCTGTGGCACACTTGGTGCAGTGCTCGGAGATTAGCGGCAGCATTTTTGCGCCTCGGTAGGTCGTCGCAACTCCACCACGTGATTTCTATGCCAGTCCTGTTTAGCTGATCGCGCAATACCGTGCAAAAGCTAGCCCGAAAGTCATCCGGTAAATCCCGAACACCAAACCAAGCCCGACCTCCAAGCGAAGGGCAGGTCGTTCGTTCCTGCCATCAGCATCACCTCTGCATCATATACTGTACTATGCTTTTCTATCTTATACTATCTTATACTATCTTATACTATATAATGCTATATTATACTAAATTACACTATATGATACTATATTATGTTTCTTATACTATGTTATACCGTATTGTACTACATACTACTATATTATACCATATTATTATACCATGTTATACCACGTTATACCATATTACACCATACTACACCATACTATACCATACTATACCATATTATACCATACTCTGCTCTATTATACTACATGCAAATGTTGAGGCACCTTTCGCCATCTACGAATTAGCGCGGCCCTGCGCCTGAAGCCTTCGAATCAGGCCCCCTTAACCCCCTGCGGAAGAAAACAACACTGGATGTATTTACACTGTGTTCGGAGAGCCGATGATCCAATGGCCTTAGGGTTTAGGGTTTAGGGGCCTTAACAATCAGAATAGGGTTCTGGGCACAGGAATCGGGAAATCACGTGAGCTGGTTGTGAGCCGGAAGTACTTCTAAACCAGCGAGCCGGCAGTCCCAAGACCATTGAGGTTCGTGGCGACGCGCATCTTATACTATAATATACTATTTTCAACTATGTTATAGTATAGTATACTATAGTATATTCAACGGCTTTCCAGGTTAGTGGAGAGCGGAGCTTTCGTGATTGCAACAGGCCAGGGTCAGGTGCAGCAGCGACGAGAAGAAAACAAGCAATTTCTGCACCCTAAATCCTTCAGCCCTTACTAAATCCTAAACAAAACTCTAGATCGAAAAAACCCTAGACCCTAAGCCTCACAAGCCAGGCGGCGAGATCAAACGGGCCATCTTCCTCCAATGTGCGAGCCAGGCCCTGCAGCCGGCGGAAGCTAAGTTTCGGGGCCTATCCCACCCGTCAGTGTCACTGAACTGGCTCAAGCTCATCCTCGACAGCTGACCTCTCATGCCAAGCATTCTTGCCATGATCGTACTGGCAATCACACTCGGACGATAACAGCAACTTTGCCAACAGCTAAGACTATTGAGCACCGCAATGGCCCATACTCAGAGTGGTAGATACTTGCAACTCATAACAGGGTAGCAAAGAGCACAAGAATCGTACTCGTTGTACCGCATCGAGCCGTACTTACAGTAGAACATACGATGGCCTTCCATGGAATACCACACTGGTCCACGAGGCTGGCATTGACGCCCAGAAGCATCTCTTCCGCAGATTTGCCAGTGAGTCCGCAGACTGCGACATGGCCTCATGCTTACACCAATGTGTTACCACTAGCACCATTGTTACCCATTGTTCCCTAAACCCTAACCCTAAACC